CCTAACCTTGGCCCCTCCCACTCCATGCCCCTCAGAGAGCTCTAGGCCCCGCCCTTGCCCTCTACCTCCGAACTTCAGCCCCGCCCACTCCGCTCTCCTCCTCCCGGCAAAGGCCCGACCCCACCCCCGTCCGCACTCTAGCCACGCCCATCCCGCTCCGGTCCGGTTCGGTTTCGGGGCTGGCTCTCCGCACCTCTGCTCGGCCTGCACGCATTAAATGCCCACCGCGTCCTTAAGTGTCCATAAGGTCCACGGCCCGCGCCCCTTCCGCTCCTTGCTCCTCAGCGCTGACCCAGGCCCCACCCACCTACCCCGGCACTACTGACTCCCGCGCAGGCCCTCATCCCCGCCCTCTGCAGCATTGCTCCTCCACATCTCACGACCCCGCCCTTTCTAATATAGCACCTTCTCCTCGGAGGCAGCCCCCGCCTTTTCTCCCCAGAGACCCGAGATTGCGGGGCTCCCTCATGCAGCCCCCCTCAACCCTGCGGGGTGCAGAGCTCGGCATCTCCGCAGGCTCCAGGTCCCCGGCTCCCTGTGCTCAGAGGTACCAAGCCCACCGTCATGCTAAACAGGCATCCTACCACACTGTCCGCGTTAGCTCGCGGGTCTCTCCATCCACCAAAAGGAGGCGCGGCTGTCTCCCTGTGAGTCCGCGGGGCTGGAGCTTTGCAGGCTACCAATCGTGGATTCAAGTCTTGACTGCATCACTTTCCAGCTGTGTGACAACCACCACGCCCCACTGTCTTCACCTCCTCCCCAAGTCTGGTCTCAGAGGGGCACCACGCTGGGACCCCACCTGGTAAAGCTGTGAGTGGCTGTGCCACCTAAATTGTGAAGAGGGGGTGAACTAGGGTCCTCAGTTAGAAGGGCCTGTCTTGGCTAGGCAGGTGTGGCCAGCATGGAACTGGAGCAGCACCTGAGGAGTGTGTGTGGGCGGGGGGTGGGGTGGGTGGGGGGAGCTTGTGTTTGGAGAATCAGCTACTGCAGCTGTGGAAGGCACTAGCTGGAAACTGAGGCAGGCAGGACCAGCGGCTGCCATGGCCAACTTGGGTCACGCCCCTCCCTGGCGCACACTGCCTCCATAGCTTGCATCCTGGGACTCCTTTGAGAAGCTCTGGGAGAGAAAGATGTAGGGGCCTTCCGCTTCTCCTCTGGGCCCCTCAGACTCCACTTTGGTCCTCCCCTCAGGTTTCCACGAGACAACCCTTGTAAGATGGCCCCCCACCCCACCTTGTACGAAAGCCCGTTTTCTCTTAAGCAAGCTAGAGTGGGTTTCTGGCTTTTGCTTAACATCATGAATTCACCCCAACATATCTTTTCAGAATCGGATCCCATCACTCCCCCAAATCCTTTACTCCAGGAGATGGGGTTGGCTGCTCCTGCTCCTCCTCCTTTCTGTCTCTGCCCTCCCTGCTGTCCACGTGTTCAGAGATTTCTGAGCTGAATCTCCTAGTGTCCACTGTCCTCTAAAGCGTCCCAACCCACCTCCCTCCCTGAGTGTCCACAGCATTGACTCTGTCCTTCGTGAGGCCACAGCTCCTCTATGTCCTTCATGTTCTAACAGTGGTTCTCAACCTTCCTAATGCCGCGACCCTTTAATACAGTTCCTCATGTTGTGGTGACCCCCAACTATAAAATTATTTTCGTTGCTACTTCATAACTGTAATTTTGCTACTGTTATGAATCGTAATGTAAATATCTGATATGCTATATGTGTTTTCTGATGGTCGCGACCCACAGGTGGAGAACCGCTGTATGGTCCCGGGCGCCCACGCCTCCTTCATGTCTGTATCTGGTACAACAACTGTTTACTAAGTGAAATGCACGTGACTTTAATACATTGAGCAATATTCATTGGAAAACACATTTAATTCCAAAGTAAACAAAGATGTTTGTACATTAAAGTATTTAGTGAAACAGTTATTATCAGTGTAACAAGCTGAAAAATACAGCAACGTGATACAAGACTGAGGTAACAAAATACTTCACCAAAAATCTAAAGAATCCTGGAGGGCTGATGTTCAGTGTTATTGCGGGTGAGACACTTCACAGGAACCAGAGAAAGTCCTTACACAATGGCATGCAGGGGTGCTGGGAAGAGACAGCCCGGAGAGGGCAACAGATTCAACAAGAAACGAATTAAAATGTAGAAACAGATTTTCAATGTACTTTGAAGAATACATAAGAAATTGATACTTAAAATACTCTCTACGCAACGTTTTGAATGCTAAGTGAAAAACCATGCATTTTGGCACAAAATTTACTTAAAGATTATACCCTACTAATAAATTAATGTCCATCGTTTCATTACCGAATGGCCACAGCCGTTCAGAAATGGGGAAAGGGATTAGTGGTTACGGAACGGAACGGACAGATGCTCCATGGCGTCGCTGCTGCAAGGGGACTTCGGGCTGCCTTCAGTGGACTCCCACTCGTGCAAGTTCTCAACACTCAAGAGATGCAGCTCTCCCTCATGCTGTGCTAGCATTTAACCGGAAATCAAAACCAAAGAACCTCTGAAGTAAATACTGTGGACTGCTGACCCTGCTCATTCCACCTCGGAGTCCTCCACGTGCCCAAGCACAGCTCTGTATGGCCTGCTGTGCTCCGACCTGCCTCTAGGCCCGGGACTCCATCCAGTCCTCATCGCAACTGAGCTCTCAAGCCAAGGGCTGTGCCTCCTGAAGCGTCTGTGGAGGAATCTGCAGGGGCTTGAACTCGGTGCTGGGGGACAGGCAGGGTCTTGCCATAGGAGATGCAGCGTGAGGATTATTTGTTCCTTGAATGATCAGCTCCTCGAGGTCAGGGGTCAGTCTGTGGTGTTCTCAGCCATTTATATCCGAGAGGGCCTGGCACGCGGGAAGCACTTACTGGAGATGTGAACGAACAAATGAATGGGTGGTTCTGCACAGAGAATCTGTTCTCTCAAAGGGACTCCTGTTTTGAGTGTGTGTGTGTGTGTGTTTTCTTTTTTAAATAGGAGCTCACCCAACATGTCAATATGATGTGGGGCTGATTAAAGTCATTTAGGAAGTCACTAAAAATTAGTTAGGCTGTGTTTTTGGCAGCGTTCACCTGGTTATGAGCATTAGTGATGTGGTAGGAGTGCTAGACTCCACCTGTGACCTGGAAGCAGACCCTGCTCGCAGATGGCCTTCCATTTTCGCGGCCCATTTTCCACCTGTACAACAGCATCCTAAAGATCCACGTCTTCGGAGGTGGGAGGAAGATGATGAGAGAAATACTGGCCTTCTTGGCAAGAAAAGAAACACTTCATAAATTCAGTTGGCAGGGTGGTGAACGGGCTTCGTCGGGAAGGAGAGGCCACGCTCTCTCACTGGGCACACTCAGAACAATCCTCCTGCTGCTGTCCATCAAATCAGTCCTCCAGGAAGCATTTCAGTTGTCAGCACACACTCGGCTGACCTGGGGTTGCAAACCGTGTTCAACTGAAAAGTACTCCCCGGAAGAGGCGATGAGCTGCTGGGCACGGCAGTGACACCAGCTTCCTACTCCAGTGTGCAGACAGCATTCCACACTTTTCCTTTTGGGGTGTTATGATCTGTTTGCTTAAAACACAGATACAGCATATGCATGCAAGACATACCATCCGCAATGGTTTCCCAAACATTTGTGCACTGTGGACAAAGAGCAAACAGCAGGGTGAGAACCCACCACGGACTGCCCCCCTTTGGGCTTTGTGGCTGGCCCCCTTGTCCCCGCCTCAGGGGCCTCCTCACCTGCGGCTTGAGGGGCAAAGTGAGGCTGGGAAGAATCTGCACTTCACTCCCAGGGTGGCCCGAGGCCTCGCTGGGAGAGCCCAGTGCCTCTCAGCTTCCTCCTCAACTCTCTGGTAGTTCAAGGTTAGTACCAGGTCTATGGGGACTTTGCCAATGAGGCCTAAACAGCTTCTTCAAGTATCCACCCTAAGAACATTTCTAGGAGGGGAGGTGGGATCAGTCTCAGTGGAAAGACTAAACACTTTGGAAAGAACTGCAATTCAAAACAGGCTCGGACAAAAACACGTGTGTAAAGGGCAGGAAATGATCTGATTTGGTGGAGCCTGAAATTCTGAGGGCTTTGGACTGACGTGTGTAATATTTCATGTGAGAAGACCCAGGACAACTGGAGAATGGAGAAATACAAGGAAAAGAAGCAGCTGATGTTCCAGTCTTACACATTCATCCAAACGTAAGACCCTAACAGGCAGAAACAGACTGAATGCAGGTGAGAGCGAACACTGAATGGTCCTGGTGAGGGGTGTTTGGCGTGTTTGGTGTTTTCCCACAGTCTCTAGATACTGATTGGAATAGTCATCGCTATGAATCGGGTGCGTGCATCGGACCGAGCTGCAGGTGGGCGGTCAAAGCACCGACGGCCAAGGTGTGGCAGCATCGCCTGGAGGTTCTCCAGCCAGGAAAGTGCTCTGGACTTCGCTCCAAAGGGGGTCAGTGACTGAGCACAGGAAGGCTGGACCCGAAAATAAGATCCTGATGACAACACCTTTCTTCACCAATTCATTCCAATTTTCAGAAAAGTTGTCACCATTTGATCACAGTACAGGGGTGGGTCCTGTAGTTGTTTTGAAATTGACCCAGGACAGTTTACTGGTTAAGACATTTTAGAAGCATCTTGCCCACAAACTGTTAGGTGTGGTTTGATATCTGATCAATACGAGCTATGAAACCACGACAGCAACAAGGCCTCAGAAATTCAGTTTCTTTCAGAAAATCATTTAAGGGTTTCCTTCTCAGAATTAGGACACCCAGGTTAGAGAGAGAGAGAGGGAGGGACGGAGGGGGAGCTACGGTGATAAAGCTATCATAAATAAAGTTAATTTTTATTAATTATTTTGAATAAAAATGTATTTGTGCAAAATAAAAGTCACTTAAAACTATGAGAGTGACAGATAGGGACGTTGTTCATGTGAAGAGCTCTTAACTGAATGCGGAGCGTGGGCCGCTCACTCCCAGGGCTTTGCTCTCTCGTCACCATGGTCATCAACAACGGTGCCCTTGGGCTTGGTGATGGAAAACTTGCTGGTGACTGGGTTGGGCGGCAATATTGGGGGAGCTTAAGGCCTCAGTGTCACTCAGCTCCCGGGGTGATCAGGGATCCCGTGGGCCGCCTGGCAGTGGAGGCAGAGGGTGTGGTGGTGGGAGCAGAGGCTCGGCGGGGAGAGGTCGTGAAGCCATTCGATGTGAGTGTGGTGCCCGAGCTGCTCTGAGAAGCTGGGAGAAGTGGCACAATTCCCCTTCTGGCACGTGGGGAGGCGAGGGGGCGGGGAGGAGAAGGGCCTTCAGACCCTGCTGGAGGAGTGGGAGGAAGCAAGCAGGCCAGTCCACAGTCCGGCAGCCGGGGCCTGTCTCAGAAGAGCTGACACCACCGAGGCCTGGACGGGACCCGGGCCCAGGAAGCAGCTTCCAGATGAATAGCACCCATAGGAACAGAAAACAGGACACGGTTTAAGGCATTGTTGTTTACAGTAAAAGAATGCAAGGGGCCCTTAACACAGGAGGGATCTGGGCTCCCACTCCGACCTTCCTTGGTGGACAAGGCTGCCACGTAAGGTTAAAGCAGGGCCTCGAAGCCAATGAAGTGTGTGATGTCACGCACCTTGTGCCAAAATGCATGTTTCTCGAAGAGTTCACGCTCGCTCGTGTGCACACGTACACGGCACGCACGTGCAGAGGACGCTTAGGGTTGTACAAAATCTGAGGGGGCCCCGTGGGCGAGCAGCCCCGTGCACTTGGGGCGTAAAAGCCCGTTCCGCAGCCGGTGCCTGCTCTCTGGCCCCTCACGCAGTTAACACTGTCGACTCCTTCGTGCAGGAGAAGCCCTGGGGCCCCTCGGCTGAATGCTCTGGTCGCAGTAGCAGCTGAGGGACACGAGCCCAGAGAGGGAGGATGACGGAGCTGCTGAATGAGTGTCATGAGAGTCACTGGGGTTGGCGCCGAGGGCGCCTCTGGGCTGGGAGGCCACAGGCGGCGTCCCCTGGAGTCCAGCTGTGAGTCTCCCAGCACCAGGCCAGTGGCCTGTGCCCAGGACCTGCACTCACCACAGTCCAGTCGGGGCTCTCAGAAGCCTCTGAAGTCACGCCATGTGCAGAGACTTATTCAAACGACATGAGGTTTGCAGGTACCTAGAAGAGAAAGCTCAGCCTTTGTCAGGTTCCCACCTCTCAGATGGGGACAAGATGCTTCCGAACCTAAGATGGGACCAGGCCTTGCCCAGGGAGTCTGTGGAGGAGCAGGTCAGGTGGGGAGAGGGCACACAATAGTGACACTATGACCACTGCCACTCGTTAAGTGACTGCTGTGTGCCAGGCGCTGCTCTGAGCACTTCATCTGCATCGTGTCCTCGAGTCCTCACAACAACCCCATGAGGCAGGCACTGGAAGGATCCCATTATAAAGATGAGGAAACTGAGGCTTAGAGAGGGGAAGTACACAGCCATAAGTGGCAGGGCTAAGACACCAGAGCCATGCTCTCAATCACTCCCCCAGGTCCAAACAAAACCGAGAGGACACAGATCCTGCAGGAATGGGGACAGGGGCGGCAAGATTAGCAGGTGGAAGCACAAGGAGTAAGTCTGGGGAGATCAGGAACCCCAAGACCTTCCAATAGCTATGTCTCCATGACATGGTCCCAGTTCCCTTTACTTGGGGGCCACCGACCCCAAGGTCAGGGTGTTGCCCCTCCCCTGGAAGCTGCTCACACGCCCCCAGCTCCAGGCCTCCTTGGCCCACAGTGCCGGGGGCGGGGCGGGGTGGGTTCCAGGAGATCTGATGAGAAGCAATTTCATCAAAGACAGATCCCTCTTGGTGTCAAGGTGTCAGAGTGATGAGTTGGATAAAGCGCACCTCCTTGCACCAGAGGCAGGTACAAGGATGGTGACGGCAGCATTGCCCGAAACAGCAAGATCAGGAAGCCATTTCTGGGCTCACCAACAGAACTGATTTAAAAAACAGTACGAGTGAATGAATGAAAGCTACACATTGACACCGATGACTCTGAGGAACATGTTGCAGGAGAAAAGCAGGTCACAGAAGAGAATACAGTGGGGCCTTGACTTACGAGTTTAATTCGTTCCGAGACCAAGCTCGTTAAGGAGCTCATTAACTCAAATTACTCTGTCAACTCAAAGCAAAAAATCGGCCGAGAGACAGCTGGTATCTCAAAAAACTCGTGAGTCGGGACACTCGTAAGTCAAGGCCCCACTGTATACAGTTATGGTTCTCTTTATAAAAAAAGTTTTTAAAAAAAGTACCCCAACCAATACATCATGGAATCAATACATGTGATAACATTTTACGGGAACGGCAACAAACAGATCGGGAGTTACGGGGTCGTGAGTTTAAATGTTAGTACAAACAATTGTAAGAAATGCGATTCCCCCTAAAGAAGACTGGTCTTGGCCACGGGGACTCCCCCGGGAGTAGGTGCATTCCTGCTCCGTCCTTGCGCCTCCTTGTTGCCCCACACGGAGGACGTGGCTTGAAATGACCCTCTGCTCTGGAAGGTTCAGTCGTTGCCACGTTTTATTACTGTATACAGCAGAGAGCGGGAATATTTGGTTGAAAGTAAATTAGAAATAAAAAGGGAAAAGAGTAGAAAAATAAGAGGTCCTCCTCCCCTAGGTCTAAAAATTGGACAATAATACTGAAAAGTAGCAAAATCTTGCCATGCACCCCACACTTGTCACACATGGAATTCAACCCACTCATCCTTCTGACCAAACACCTGCTCTGCCACCGGGGTTTGACCCAGTTCCCTGCTACCTGCTGTGTCCCTGCTGCCATGCTTGGCTGCCCTCCCAGAGAGCGACCATTGGTGCTCCTGGCCGGTACCCCATGTGCCTCCACGGGCAGGGCAGACAGCAAGGCCCTGTTCTCTCCGATTCCCCCTATCCTGCTGGCCCACCTCAGGCAGCCCGTCCCTGTCAGGCCCGGTGCCACCCAGCCTCCTGCTCAAGGTCACTCTGAGCTAATGAGGGTCCCAGCCAGCAGGTGTGACCAGCGCAGAGGGCAGGACGTTCTTCCTCTCTGAATGTGACCTGAGGTGGCATCAACCTTGTTCAAGCCCTGATGCCTTGGTCACTTGGCATCATCTTGAGGTGACTGGCCACCAAAACCCCAAACCCCTGGTCTCTCCATCGTGGAGACAGGCAATCGCATTTGTTGAACTCAGCGATTTTCTATCTCATGGCACACATTAACGAATCGCTAAAATTCTGCAGCACATCAAAAATATATGCTGTTTTTTGCTGATCTGACAAAAAATAGGTATCATTTTGATTCATTCACACTGGATAGCTACTGTTGGCTGTTGTCATTTCCTTCTTTCTTTTTTTTTTTTTTTTAGCAATCTAAGGGAAAAGAGGTCAGTGCTCCTAACTAAATAGTCAGGTAGTACGTGTTTTAAAAGTTCTTGTGGCACACTGGTTGAAAATTGCTGGTTTAATGTGAAAAAGGTATGTAAGCACTCTAGAAATCAGAGTTAGAGTTTCTTGTGTATCATTTAAATATTTTTTACGTACAAACACAAAGGTAATAAATGCGCCTGTGTATCTTAATACAAGCCAGATGGCCCTCACTGGAACCCTGGAGCTGCCAGCTGACCACACCCAGATCTGCCTCGTCTTTCTAACTGCTGTCGGGTGTTGCTCAGGGGACTGACCGAGGTGGCTGAGGCGTCCGGGTTTCCTCTCCTATCCCGGACAGCGCTGCAGTGCGCTCTGAACCGCACACTCTGTGTGCATGTGACACACCCCTCGGACAGGTTCCTGGCAGGCAGGTGAGTCGACAGATTCGAATGCAATTTATTTTGTGCTTCCCTGTGGCATCTCAAGTTGATCCCTGTACGGGCCTTATCATCTATGATTGGATCGGTGTCATCTATGGCCTCGCCTCTGTTTCAGAGGAAGGTCCGGAATAGGACCAAACTGAGCACAGAGTGAGCGACATGCCTTGGAGGCCGCCCCGCCCCGGCCCTTAGGAGAACGGCTTTGAGGGACCTGGAAATCTGTGGCTGCTGTGACCACAGCTGAGGCCCCCACTCCCAGACACATAGGCCTGGTGCGGGGTGAACTCCCCTTTGCTGAGGTCCCCTCAGACCTGGGGCTGCTGCCTCCCAGCTACTCTTACTTGTCCTCAAAGCTGCCAGCATCTCCCCCAAGCCCTGGTGCTCTTTCCAAGACTGAGAGGAACCCGCTCCCCAGCCCCCTCCTCTGGCTGATCCCTGGGGAATTCAGGGGGGATTCCAACCCTGGCACCAGCAGCCACACTGCCTGCCCACCGACTCCCAGGGTCAGGAAACTCGGCCTGCCCATCTGGTGCTGAGGGCTGGGGCGGCCACTCCTCTCACAGGCCAGGGCCCCGGGAGGTGAGGCAGGAGAGCTCGGGGTGGCAAGCACAGACCCGGGTAGGCCCCACAGTTAGTGTCTGCCGCTTTCTGAGCCTCAGAGGCCTCAGTGTGAAAGGGAGACCCTGAGAGGACCGACCTCACAGGGGTGTGGGAGGCCTGGACCTATTGCTGCAGGTGAAGCATCTGGAGTAATGCCCGGTCCTGGGGGGGTGGGTGTGGGGGGAGAGACTCAGCCTTGAGCCAGGCCCAGCAGACCAGAGCCCCGTCAGCAGCAGCCACGGTGGCTCTCAGTACATTAGCTGCTGTTATTATTATTATTCCTAAGGACTGTGGGGGCCAGGAAGCCTGTTAGTCAGTCTGGAGTTTCCCATGAATCAACCTAAATAGCTGCTTCCGCCTAAACTTGGGGAGATACAGCATCTGCCTCCTACCAAGCTGTCCCTGACGGATAGTTCTGTGTGTTTCCTTCAGTGGGCAAGACACGGGGACCAGACTCAAAGTTCTGGTCTGAAGCTTTGTTGTAAGCCGAGCAGGGGTGCACTGGCTCATGGGAAAAGGCTGATCGGCTCCCAGGGAAGGAGGGGCCCTGTTTTCTATGGACCAGGAGCCCCAAGGGTGGGAGAGGGTATTGCGGGTGACAGGCAGGATTTTGGTGACTTTACCTGAGGCCTGTTGCTTTTACATGCATCGTCCAAATGCTTGTGCCACAGTATTGCATGAAACCGGGAGCCAGTCTGGAACTTGTAAACATTGCCTGACGGGTAGAGAAACCACCGGTTAAGAAGAGGGTGGACATGGGTAACTAAACCGAGGAGGGTCAGGAGCAGCCCAGGGCAAGCCCGGGGCTTGGGTCAGGACACTGCCATTCTCATGACACAGGGGTGTCCCTGAGATCTCCAAAGACCGTTCCTGCCACATGGTTGCTGCCTCACCAGCATCCTATTATTTACTCCAAGAGCCTGAGGCTGCAGCTCCAGGGGTGATGGGCCCAGTTGCCACAGATGAGGCCACAGGAGGATTCCTGCTGCCACATGCCATGCGCACTGCTCAGTGGACACAGGGGACTAGTGAGGGGACCCTGCGAACATCAGCACCTAAAGCAAAGGGAAAGCTGCGACCCCAGAAGTGCCTACATGTAGCAGAAGAAGCTGGGGCGGGAGGGGCTGCCGGCACCGGCTCGGCGCCTACCTTTGTCAGGGTTGTTCAGCTGGAAGATGTCCGGGTGCTCGGGGTCATCCGGCAGCTGCACCATCCAGCCCACGATGGAGACCTTTTTGCCAGGCGTGGATTTGTACTGGAGAGCAACGCACAGCCAGGAGCTCACACCCTGCCTCCCCACGGAGGGCTGAGGAGGCCACGCCACGGTTCCTCCCCACCCACCCACCCACTCCCTGTAGTTCTCACGAGATAAAGGCCCAGCCCGGAGAGGCGTTTCCCGGGACTTACGTGTTTTCTGTCTGTGCCCCGCAAGGACTTGGCTCCATAGTACAGGAGGGTGGATCCTGAGAGGATGACCCAGTACCTGGTCCAGGAGGACAGCTGCACAGGAAGGAGGCCGAGTGACAACCCCGCGAGTGGTGGGGCAGGACCGGGGCCTGATCACACACCCAGCCACAGGGTGGAAGGGGCCCCTCCCAACCAATCACTGTCCCCGACCCCCTAATGCCACCTCCCCCAGGACCTGGAGGAGCAGACTGTCCTCAGCGCCCACCTCCCTCTCCTGCTTCCCTCGGCGCCTCCTTCCCGCCTTGTCTAGGGCAGTGCCAAGGCACAATTACTGTGTGTGCAGGTGACCTGGGCCCACGAATGTCCTTGGAAAAACATTTTAAAACACAGACATGGTAAACCACAGCCTAGGGCCATAATGTCTGCGATGGGGTGGGGTGGGGGGACTCGGCGGTGACTGAACGGAAGCCCTTTTGAAGAATTTGAGGCTGGAAGTGGGAGACCCACAGGCGGCACTGCAGGCACGGCTCTGCTTCTCTAGGGAAGGCCGGCACCGGCGCCCGGGGCCCCAAAACGGCGCCCTGGGCTCACTGGTGCTCAGGGCCCGCTCTTAGGTTGGGGGAAATCAGTGTGGGGGGCCTCTGGTTCTGCAGAGGCGAAGCGAATGCCTCGTGTGGGGAGCGGAGGGCTCTGCACCTCAGCCTGCCAGACCTCTCTGAGGACGCCACGGGTATAAGCAACACACGTGCGTGTGTATGTCGAACACTTACCTTTACTCGGTGTAAGAAACTCCATTTCCCATTCTATTCTACTAAAAACAATGGGTCATGACCTCCTGCATTGATTTCATCACTTCCTGTCACCACCCCACCCACCCCACCCCACCCCACCGCAGACATATGGTCCTTCTAGGCTATGGTTTACCATGTCTGTGGTTTTAACACGGCTTTTAGGGTGCTGCCTTGCCAGCCTCAGAGTGGCTGCAGCCGGCACTCTGTATGGGAGAGAGGCAGGCAGTCAGTACCACAGGCCGGATGTAGGGCCCCCTGTCACGGATGCTTTGTGACACTCGGGTCCAAGGAGAGTGTGGGGCCCAGCTGGGGTGAAGACTCCATCTCACTCAAGAACGCATGTGGCATTCTTGCCAAGTCCTTTAGCATGCAGGCGCTATTTCATCGCAATTCGCAGATGCAGAAACAGCTCCCTCCCCTCCGTGGCACACCCAGGGCTGGGCGGGTTGTCGGGTCTCCGGAGCCGGCCCCTCACTGAGCCACAGGCTGCCTCCGGACGAAGGTGTCTGACTTACTGTGGGCTTCCGTCCTTCCTTGAGCAGAGTCTTCCTTCTCAAGGGCCCCTCCATGGTGGGCACGGCCGCCGAGCTCCCCAGCGCACAGATGCAGGGGCCGGTGGGGCTGAGGGGAGGCCACGGGTCAGACAGGTCTACAGGAGCTGAGGTCAGACACCCTCTCACCACCGGGGCCCAGGATGCTGCCAGGACAGAGGCCTTACGGTGCTGGGCAACGCCACAGGGAGCAGGAGGAAAGGAGGCTCTGGGCTCCCCACATCTGAGAACTCGCCTCCCTCATCTACCTGAGTGCTGCCGAGCTCCACGTGTGGTGACTAAGCCCCTGGTAACCCGGGCCCCTCGCAGCCCTGCACCCCATCCTGACCCGGGCACCCCGCAGCCCTGCACCCCATCCTGACCCAGGCCCCTCGCAGCCCCTGCACCCCATCCAACCACCACTTCCTCTCCAGTTGGGGAACTTGGGGATCACACAGCCCCCCTTTTTGTGTTGGCAGAAGCCTGGAGGAGCATGGAGGAAGTGCGAGAGGTGGGGTGAAGTGAGAAGGGGCACAGGGGACCCCCACACTGCCAAGCTCTGCACCTTTCTCAGGGTTCCTCTTTCACCCTCTGCCATGGGGATTCAGGCGCCACCTATGGGTGAAGGCATCCAAGTGCAGCACCAGCCCAGATCTCTGTCAGCCCAATTTCAGACCCAGAGCTTCTGCTTACTGTCCCCCCGCGCCCCCCTCATCCAGACTCCCCAGGCCCCTCCCTCAGCCTGCACCTTCCCCCAGGGAACACCACCCACCCAGCTGAGCCCAAACCTAGGGGTTTTCTTCTCTCACCTCCACCCCTGCAACGCCGGCCTGTCCACCTCAGCCATCCCACTCCCCCCAGCTCGGCAGAACTTGATCTGCCTGTGACCGATCAGTCCACGCTCAACCCTGGTCTCACAGCATCGACTCCTGCCTTCCTCCCGTGTACTCCACGCACGGCCAGGATGGCCTGGTCACGCCACCTCCCCTCCCTTCCACGCCCACTCTCACTGTCTCCATGGCCTTTGGACCACCATCCTTCCCCTCCCATCCTTCCCCTTTCCCCTCACTCCTCCTCTCACCCCACCCCATCTTATACGCTCTCCTCTCTCATTTCCTTGGATCCTGCCTTTCCTTTGCGTGGAGTCTCCCGCTCTTCCTGCCTCAGGCCCACGGACTGTCTCTTTGCCTGGGGCACCCTTATAACCCCTCTGCCTCCCTCCCTTATTTCACCAGGTTAATTCCTGCCTCTCTTCCCATCTTTTCTCCAGGGAGCCCCTCCCTGCTCTCCCCTCCCAGGGCACCCCCTTCTCTGGGACCTGGGCACCCGGGATTTTCTGTTCGTTTAGGTCTCTTCTGTAGCAGCCTCGTGGGCTAAGGCGGCAGCCGTGTCCATTCCGTCCACAGCCTCTAGCACAGAGCGTGGCACCCCGCACACGGCACCCAGCAGGCACCCTATTGCTCTCTGTCGCGTGGACAGACACACGAATAAATGGATACCTGTAGACGCAGCTCCGGGTCCTGGGAGAATTCCGAACTGGAACTCTCCAGTTGGGCCCCAGCGTGGCGTAGAGACGTCCCCTGCTTCGGAGGAAAAGGCTGAGTGTTAGCCACAGGCTGGGGAGACAGGTCGCTGATGGAGGCGAGAGCCTCTCAGACTGTGGGCGTCAGCTCAGGAAGCCCCACCCCACCTCTCCCCCTTGGTCACGCTCCAAGCACATCTGGGGCAGCTGAGCTGCCAGTCGCTGAACAGAAGCCCCTGAACAGACGCCCCCGGGTCTCCAGGTAAGTTTTTCGGTGGGAGGGTGAGTGCAGTGAGCGGCCAGACGCAATACAGAAAACGATGGATCTGCTGTAGTTTCTGAAAAGCTTGGGTACTTCATGATTGGCCACACCGCTGGGCACCGGGAAACGGGGGTCACACCACATCACCCTGTGAGTGAGCTGCTCCCCTCCCAGCCACACGGGGCTCTGTGAGCAGGCAGGTCTGGGAGTGAACTTCGTGGTGCCATCCCTGTGTGTGGGGGAGTCTCCTCATTTGGTCCGAGTTCCCGCTGAGCCGAGGCTGGTGTGGAGCTGGAAACTGGCCCCTTCTCTCACCCTCTCTTCTCAGGGGTCTCCTTTCCCCAGCGCCCCAGCAAAATGTGCAACCAGAGCGGACTCTCCGCTGACACTAGGAGGGCCTCGGCCCCCTCGCCACCATTCCGTCCCCTTTTCTGAGACAGTCCCTGGCTGCCGGACTGACGTGCTGATGGAGCTTTAAGGCAGCACCTTCCGAGCAGGCTCTCCGGGTGCTTCCTAAGGGAGCGGGGGCTCCCAAATGCCCAGGGCTGGTGGGGGAGCGCAGACGCCAGGCCATGCACTCCTCTCCGGAGATTTGTGAGAGCACCATTAGCCTCCCCAGAATGGGGAAACTGAGGCTCCGGGACACTTGACAGGACTGTGAGCCTAGCTCGCCAGGATCTGGACCCAGTCTGTCTGACTCTGTAGTCTAAGCTCCTCCCACACCTTTCAGGCTGGGCAGAGGCTGGCGTGTCGCATGGGTGGAGTCTGCCATGGGACTGGGCCCAGGTCTGGAGGCAGCACTGTGCAGCGGCTCCCTGCAGGCTTCTCTGGGAGGCCCCAGTTCTCGAGTTTCTGTGCAGCGCACGCTGAATGGGCTTTGTTGGAATGTCTCTGACTGACATGGAGCCCCACTCCAGAACCACAGCTGCCTTTCCTGGCTGGGAACACGTGACTGAACAGAATGCACCCCAGGAGGGCCACTTTCCAGTCCCCCCCCCCCCCCCCCCCCCCCACCGCCAGGGTTGGATCTTGGGGGTGGCAGGGAGGAGGGCTGCAGGAGACAACCCTGCTCGTGGGAAGTCTGGTCTGGGGAATTGTGGGCTGGCAACCCAGTAGAACATCTCAGTACCAAAGGGTGTGCAAGCTGGTGGTAAGGATGGCGATAGGACGATGGGATGGGGGATGGGGGCGATGGTGGGCACGATGGTGGACGGTGAGGGTGATGAGCGATGGTGAGGAAGGGATGATGGTGCCAGGTAATATGCTCAGAGGTATTCATTCACTACTTTGTTTGATCACACAACTCTGGGAGGCAGGCACTATTCGTATGCCCACCTTTTAGATAAGCAATCTGAGGCTTGGAGAGGTGCAACTTGCCCAAGGTCACGGCACTAGGAAAAGGAAGAGTGGGGGGTGCTGTTGAGGACGCAGCCGGGTCCTGCTTGGGCCAACAGCACCGTGCGGATTCAGGCTGGCCGGACAGGCCTGCAGGACACTTCCCGGACAGTTTTCTAGGCGCCACAGTAGCTGGCAGGTACCTTGGGGGCTGAATTTCATAACTTGACCCCGAGTCCCTGTTACTGGTCTAGGAGGTTGGGGGGCAGGGAGAAGTCTTGGATAATAATCACCTTGAGGTCTCAGTCATCTTGCCTTAGCGGGAATAGGCCCCCCATGCTTCTATCTCAGTGCACGGAGCCCCTGGTGGGAGTGCACCTGTGGAGGGCCCACCTGCACCAGCAAACCCTGGATGGGCACTTGACCCTGGCCACTTGCTGATGATTCGCCCTCATCTGCAGGCAGGAAGCCGCCGCCCGAGTTCTGTGGGCCCTGGATGTCTCCCCAGCAGCACTTGTTACAGCACTTTTACCGCCTGTGAGCCGCTCTCTCTCCTCCGGGCAATGTCCCTGATCCGCTGAGTGGGTCCCTAGGAGCCGCAGTTGCACTTAAGTTTAGCTGAGCGGATAGGACACCTGAGCTGAGCCAAGTCAATCCGATATTCTTTCCTGGCAATTAGGAACCGGATGTGAGAGACTGAAAGTCGGGCTCTGTGGCGGGGTGAAGCCGTAACACATACACCTTCCCCTCTGTGAGCTGACAGGTCTAGAAGTCCGGGCTGCAGAGAGAAAGCGGGGAGCAGAGCGGATATCCACAGAGAAGGGTCCACATGAGGCCCACGTCCTAGGACATTGTTGGCGAACCTTTTGAGCTCGGCGTGTCAGCATTTTGAAAACCCTAACTTAACTCTGGTGCCGTGTCACATATAGAAATTTTTTGATATTTTCAACCATAGTAAAACAAAAATTTATATTTTTGATATTTATTTTATATATTTAAATGCCATTTAACAAAGAAAAATCAACCAAAAAAATGAGTTCGCGTGTCACCTCTGACACGCGTGTCATGGGTTCGCCATCACTGGCCTAGGACCTGACTCTGGGCGGTAGGCATTGGACAGAGAGGTGGCAGATTTCTCGGTACTTATGAAGCTTCAGCAGCTTATGGGCAGGGCCCAGCCCTTGTCAGCTGGGGCCCAAGGGCAAGGTCAAGAGAAAGGCCCAGGGACCACTGCTCACTGTTCCCTCTCTCAGGGGCCTAAGCTCCTGGGTGGAGCCTCAGTTGTCAGACTTCAGTGTCTGCTGCTGAGAACAAGGCAAGAGAGGGAAACCAATGTCAGAAGCTCCGCTCATCACCCAACTGGGCTGCCACCTGAGGCAGAGCAGCCGGATGGAGGACCAGGGCAGGAAGGGCCTGCAGAAACTGGACTTGAAGGTGGCAGGTGAGGGACACAAGCCGGGGATTCCTGGCCCTCAGCCTCTGTGAGAATCACCCTGAAAACAGTCGCTCTCGTGGTTGCACCTCAGTTGAAATGGACCCTCACCTCCAGGATGGCCTCCAGAGCTTCACCTCCCTCTCCCAATCACGGCAGAGTTTGGGATTCAAGAGGCACCTTGCACCCTGGCACACCGGGGCATCTGCCAGAGTCCTCTGATCTTCTCAAGGAAGGAAAAGAGTGTCTTTAAAAACAGATTTGAGGGGATCGGGCTTGGGGCTCTGTTGCCACCACTCCGCTTTCCTGGGGTCTCCCTAAGGGGGCAGGGAGATCGCATCTGCTAAGAACAAGCAAACCTCACACAGCAAAGAAATCGCAACACCAAACTCAACACCCTAGAGCACCCGTGCGTCCGACTGCCGCAGCCCTATCTTACAGGGCTCTTCCCCCGGTCAGTGCCTCCTGGGGGCCAGCCAGGGCTGAGGACACTTGCCTTCCCCATAGCCCATCCACTCGGTGATGACTGAGCGGCCATCGGGGAATTTTCTCTTCACCCCACCCAGCTTTAGACTCCTGATCACTTGCTTGCTGGCAAGAGGTACCTACTGAGTGAAATTCATAAACATCCCAAAGTAAGTTTCCCCAACGGAGCACTTCCACTTATGTGCTAAGTACTTCTTGTGGGCACCCTCCCTGCAGAGCTGAGGGACCTGAGGCTCAGAGATTGAGGGACAGGCCCAAGGTCGCTGAGGCAGCAGGCAGGCCTGACCGCAGGCCCCTCTGATCTGCAGGCAGTGTCCAGAGCCAGACTGCGAGGTCTCAGTGCGGTGCACTAGCACCCGCTCTCCGGCGGTGACTCTTGGAGACACCACGCACTCCCGGGCCACCTCTCCCATCCTGGCACACTGCTCAGGCCCGGCGGCCTCCTTGCGTCCACTGTGGTCCTCCCACCACGTGTCCCTGGGCTGCTGCTTAGCCCTCACCTCTGCAGGGGCACAAAGAAGCACCTGCTGCCTCTACTGATGGCCTGACTGGAGGATTCCCTCCTCCTTTAATTTCTGAGGAGCCCGAGGTTTGCTGAGGTCAGCCTGGTGCCACGCCCACAGCCCTACTTCCATGAAGTCCATGGGACAGTGGAAAGGCAGCCTCCCTCCCTCCTGAGCCCGTGACCCTCAGGGGGTGTCTGACAGGGAGCAGTTGCTTAATAAATGGGCATTGAATAAATGAATGAGCGAATGAATGAGGGAGGGAGGGAAGGAAGGAGGTAAGGGAGGAAGGAAGGGAGGGAGGAAGGAAGGAGCCAATGATTAGGTCCAGGTCTGGATGATGTTCAGGATCTTGGCACCATGCCTGTTTCCCACTCGATGTCCCCTCGTTGGCCTGTGGCCCGGGGAGATTCGGGCGTGCCCAGCAGACCTGCAGTCCGCCCTGGTGCCTGCCTAGTTCCCATCCCGCTGCTGAGGGGCCCAGAGCCAGGGCAGTGGCCTGCCTGCCTGAGAGAATGAGAGTGAAGCATGCCCCTCCAGGAGCCCCAGAGGGAAGGGCCTTGCTGCCCCTACTTCCTGCCCTCCATCAGGGGTTCACAAGGACAGACAGACTGACTGACCAACATGGGGCCAGTGCCTGCAGCTGTCACATGGCCCTGGACGAGGCCTGAAAGGTGGTGGAGAGGTGGGCTCAGTGGTCAGGAAGGCGTGGATTTGGGCAGCTCTGCCCTGGCAGAGTGTGAGCAAGCGGGGTCACTTCACCTCTCTGAGCCCAGCCGTCCACGTGCATAAACGGGGGCCCCTGGATAACCACTGTGTAGCAGCGCGTGAAGACTCGGTGAGACCAGGACGGTGCCTGGCACGGTGCCTGGCACACAGCGACTGCTCCACAAGATCACTCATCACCTGTCACACCTCTGTCTGCCCTGTGAGGACCTGCTGGGCAGCACCCACCTCCTCTCTGGCCATTTTCTGATTATGGGGACTGAGGAGCCAGGAGGCTCAGCACCAGAGGATGTGTGTGTGTGAGTGTGTGTCTGTGTGTGTATGCATGTGTGAGGCGTGTATCTGTGTGAGGTATGCATGTGCATGCATGCATGTGAATGTACATGTGTGGGTATGTGCACCCACATGTGTAAGAGGATGTGAGTGTGTGTGAGAGTGTGCATAACTGTGTGAGTGTGTGCTGTGTGTGCGGGCCACTGAAGGATGGTGGGAACCTGCTTCTCGTAACCTTCCTGTCACTGGTTGCTCCCTGCCTCCCTTACAGTCACTACGATGCCCTTCACTTTGTGGCCCCACGGCTGTGGGAGCTCCCCATTCAGAGCCCTGTCTTCCCGGGGCCCAGGTGTGCCTGGCACAGAGAAAGCACACTGTGTGGAGCAGGTGCTGAGGTGAATTCCTGAGCTGGAGCCAAACCCTGGGCTGAGGGATCCACGTTGTGGTCACCAGTGCCCAGCAGGTGGTTGTCAGCCCAGGGCCTGAGGCCATGTGTTGCAATACTCTCAGACCCCACCAGGCGGAGCCACATGCCGCCTGCAGGCTGGGCCCATCCTCAGGCATCTGGCTGCAAGAACCCACATTTCAGACCAGTCTCCCCAGCAGCTCGGCCTGAGGGAGAGGCGCTGGCCTTGGCCCTGGGCTAGCTCGGGACCAGGTGATGAGGGGCTGCTCAGAACATGGGGCTGGTCCCCCACCCCTCCTCCCTCAGTGGGTCCTGCCCCTGGGCTGAGCTGTCCTGAGGAGCCACAGAGCAGCCTCCCGGGTGGACCCATGGGATGAGGTTGGGGTGGGTCCCTGCCTGGAGCTGTCTCCAGCTCCCTGGGCCCTGGGCACCTCCTGGGAGGGAGGCCACGCTGAGGCCACACTCACCTTTCCAGCCCTGAAGACATTTCTTCACTAAACTCTGAGCTCTCACTACTGCCTGGAAAAGGAACACAGATCAGTGAGCAAGGCGGCCTCAACCCGAGAGGAGCCAATCTGGAGGGGCCTCTTCTCCTGGCTCCCTGGGCCCAGGCCCCCGAGCGCCACAGAAGCGCCAGAGCGATGGCCTCCTGACCCTGGGCTCCTGCTGCTTCTATTTCTGCCTCTCCGCCCCGGGAGGGTGCAAAGCACCAGCTGTCCCACTGTTCCCCGGGGGGGCCTCTGCCCCCTTCCCACGGCCCCCGGAAGGCTGCACTGCCCACCCCAGGACATGGGAGTCTGGGTCCTTGGGCCTCTGCTGGGCCTGGCCTGGCCCCCACTGCCTCCCTCTGGCCTAAGGAAAACTGGTGCTAGAACAGGTCTCACCCGGTGAGGACAGAGCAAATAGCACTTCCTCTCCGAGGGTCAGGGCTTGACTAGACACTGGTCAGAGCCGCTGCCCAGCACTGGAAGCCTCGAGGGGTCCCTTAGACCTCTGGCCAGCACACACAGGGCTCAACTCCGCCACCCCCGCCCCCCCCGGCCTGCTTCTCAGGGGCTCTCCAAGGACACCTCCAGCACAAGACACACTTTCTTCTGCCACTTCACTGACACCACGTGCCTTTGTACGGACCCTCAGTCCTCGAGGTGCCCCAGGTCAGGGGTCTTGGCCTGGGCTACCTGCTGGCACCGAGGCTGAGCAGTGGGAAAGGGGAAGGAGGGGTCCCAGGCCGCTGGGGGTTACAGGACAGAGAGGACCTGTTCAGCTCCAAATGGCACATGCACACGGCTACCTGCTCCAGGCAGAAAAACCCCTGAGTTTCCGAACACAGGAGCCAAGGGCCACAGCGCCGGTGACCTCCCACCGTACACTGGGCGGCATTGTGACTCAGCTTTCTGTCCAGGAAGAGCAGGGCCTGGGTCCAGGCACAGCTCACACCACCCTCGGCTCCTGCCCTCGCCCAGCCCGGCCTCAGTGGTACAGTGCCTTCCACTGACAGGAGCACGTGTCTGGCTGAGTGCTCCTGGGCGGCGTTTCCCAGCTGGTTCGGAACCATCCCAAGGACACGCCAAGGAAAGGGTCCCATGGCCACATCCTGAGGGAACTGCGACTCTGGGCCCTGGTGACCACCATGCCCAGCATTTCAGAGTCTGAGAGGAGACCTGCTCACTTCTGAGCCAGCCTCACCCCACACGCTGCCTGGCTCCCCTCCCAGGTGTACCCTCTGAACACACTGCACACTCCTGACTAGGTCCCAACAGGATGGCTCCTCCAAGGTGGAGGTGGACGCGGACCTGGCCTGGCACCGGTTTTCTGTGCTGGGAGACGGCTGTCCCCTGGAGTGACGCTGCCTCAGATAGGGGCCGCATTTCACAGGAGTGTGGGACATTTTTCCTGTCCCCACACACCCTCCCCACGCCCATGGGCCCTCCACTCTGCGGCCTCACTGGATCAAACCCCTGCCTGGCAACTATCTAAACCACCACCAGCACCAGGAGGGCTCCCTGTTAAGGAAAGCAGACGGACACACGGACACAGGACCACAGAAGCACAAGTATGCTGAAAGGGCACGGCCAGCAGACAGGACACGTGTCTAATGGCAGAAAGGACGGGTGACCTGGGCACTGCAGGAGGACTCCGCCCTCGCCCATCGCGGCCTCAGCAGGGCAGTGCCTTCCGCTGACATGAGCACGTGTCCGGCTGAAGCTCAGGCGTGCAATCGCACCCTTAGATCACCTTCTCAGCCTCCCTGACTCTAACTTTTTGGAGTGAAGCAAGGACCTGCGTGAGAACCCGGCGGCCCTCAGCGCTGTCCTCGGGCAGCCTCCCCCTTTGCCCTGAGGCTGGGGCCTGTGGCTCTCCCGGGACAGAGCCCCGCAGGGCAGCGGCCAGGCTCTGTCAGCTGCCAGCCAGGGACAGCGGGTCTCAGGTGTGTGTCTGGCTGCCTCTTCCACCCGTTTGCTGTGCTCAGGGCCACCGGTAGGATGAGGACACACCCAGGCATTTCGTGACACCCAGAGGCCAGGAAGGAGAGCCCCTAGCAGGGTGACTCCTGAGGAGCCCTCTCTGCGGGGCGAGGCCACCGGGCGCGGCACAGTGACAGACAGACACGAGCACACGCCGGCTGTGCCATGCTGCCGCGCAGCCAGACGCTTACCTAGCGAGAGTCCATTGGTGATGGCGGAGGAGGAGGAGGTGAGGGCGGGGCCCCTGCGAGGGCTGCGGGACTCTAGGACACTGTCGTCCAGCAGGTGCCTCGCTTTCTCCGATGGGAAAGTCGCACTTTTACTCTCAACTACACTCAACTGACACATCATACTGGAAACGGAAAGGAAGAGAGAGGCAGAGCTCCTTACCTACGGAGTCACAGGGTTCCACCTGCCTGGGCTCCTGGCAGAGGGCGCACCTGCAGGCAAAGACCTCCACCCAGAACCAGGGAGCACGGCCAGGCTCTGCCCTATCTCACGGCGTGACCTTGGGCAAGTCCCAGCCTTTGTCTGGGCCTCAGTTTCCCCATCTGTCCAGTGGGGACTAACTGTACTTGCCCTTCCTAACTCCCAGGATGATGATGAGGCGTGAGTGAGTGGGTGGTACTTGTGAGCGATGGGGCGCACAGTGAAGGGGGAGTGTGACCCTGCGGCATCATGTCTGCTTCTGGTTCTGGAGTCGCACACACTTGGTCCAAGTCCTTGCTCCCACCTTACAATTGGCAGGTACTTTGCCCCATTGAACCTCACTGGGCTCATGCATATCACAGCACCTACCTCTCAGGCCTGCAGGGCTCAGTGAGATAATACATGGCAGGATAGAGCAGAGAAAGAGCAACCCCTTTCTCCTCCAGCCCAGGAGCGACTCCAGGGCCTGCCTGGCTGGCTGAGGCTTGTGTCTTGGTGGAAGGAAGGAAGGAAGGAAGGAAGGAAGGAAGGAAGGAAGGAAGGAAGGAAGGAAGGAAGGAGATGGAAGAGGCAGGCAGGCAGGAACAGAGGGAGGGAGGGACCCAGCTGTAAGGAGCCTGTGCCCAGTACCCTGGGGACATGGGCATGGCTGCCCTGGCCATGCTGAGGACCACCCATGTCGCCCAGCTGTCAGCCCCACAGGCTGGGGAACCGGGGAGATGCCCTGATCTGCAGACTCACTCCAGCAATGGGCAAGCAGATTCTGAGCCCTGAGACTGGCAGACACAGTGCCCACTGGACTCTGGGTTTACACAGGGAGGCACTCACTGAGCTTGGGCAAACTTGCAGAGGGAGTCCCACCACTGCTTCCCTGCCGTTGCCTGCATGCTTCCTCCACCGGCTACTGAGTGGTAAGACCTGTCGCCCGGACCACCCCAGCTCTTCCTGACCCCGTGCCAGTGTGAGGAGAGGGCACCAGCCAGGGATACCAAGAGCATCGTCTGCCCTCCCAGATGGGGTGGGGAGAGCTCCAGCGGGCAAGCACCCCCTTAGCCCACCCCGACGCTCAGCCCGTTTAGAGCCTGAGTGGGGCTCGCTCAGTTACCCACTTGTTGCCCAGGCTGTGGCTCTTCCTGTGTCTTGGGACTGGGGGTGTGGGGAGGCTACCAGCCACAGACGCGTCAGGACAGGTAGGCCGCCGGCTGAACCTTGCGGAGCTGGAGCTGGCAGAGGGGCCTGTGAACAGAGCAGAGAGCGTCCTGTGACGGGGGCTGAGGAGGCTCGGGGGTGGGGCCTGGGTTGTGGGTAAGGCACTGGCCCAGCTGTCACAGGCGGAGCAGGTTCCGCAGGCCCCGTGGCTCCCTACTCATGAGACACCCACCCCTCACGCCCAGCATAACCAACTTCCACAGCGACAGCAGCCAGGATGGCCGGTGGCCTGCTGTGCACAGTGCCCCTGCCTGGGCGAGACTTACCCAAGCCATCCAGCAGGTGGCAGAGACTTCACAGCCTGTCTTGTGAATCCAAGGCTGGTGCCCACCCTGTGCCCTTCCCCAGCCACTTTCTCTTCTCCACCACGCATTCCACAGAAGGGACGGAGAGCGTGTGAGGGCAGCAGCGGGAGGGCTCACTGAGCGAGAGCACAGCTAGAGAGGCAGGGGCTCTGCCCCAGGCCTGCCAGGTACTGCCTGGGTGGCCTTGGACGGGTGACTTAACTTACTCCCTTGAGCCTCTGTTTCCTCATCTGAAAAGTGGGAATAATTCAACTCACCTCGCAGATGGCTGGGAGGAGTCCTGAGGTGGTGAAAGCAGTGTCACAGTCAGCACTCACACTTGTTTTATATAATGAGTACCATGATCTCCTCAGGCCCAGTCCTGGGGACAACAGGGGTCCTCAAGCCAGGAGGCTGGGCCACACACCCACTGAGCAGCACGCACAGGACGGAGGAGGGACCTGCATGCTGGCCAGTCCACAGCTACTAGTATATGGAGGGGCCTGGTCCTGCCGCTGCTGTTCTCTTTAGTGCTGTGCTCGTGGCTCTGGAAGGGAGGTGACCCCAGGAGCTAGGCCTTAGCTACCTGGGACAGACAGGAAGTGGGCCAGGGCTTCTGCACTTCCTGCGGAGCACACCAAACGGCAGACCCAGGGACTGTGCCGGGCTGTGCGGGAGCCTCCCCAGAGGGCCTGCGCGGCCTGTGTCCATCCAGGGCCCCACAGCCTCCCACAAGCTGCTGTAATCCACAGTGACCTCCAGTTTGCCTGGCTCATCACTTTGTAATGTCCCAGACAGCACCGTGGACGGTCTAGATCAGGGGTGGGCAAACTTTTTGACTCGACCAGTGACCTCCAGTTTGCCTGGCTCATCACTGTAATGTCCCAGACAGCACCGTGGACGGTCTAGATCCCTCTGGCACTTGGGAAGGTTCACGAGGCAGCTCGCATCTCCTCGAGCTCGGAGTTCCTGCTGCCTCACCCTGCTCGCCCCTCCACACCCCACTCTGCACACCCCAATCTTCATTTCCCCAGGGCCCCCCATAATCCCTTTACTAGGCCTTGGCCAACTTTCTCTACTGTTCCCCTCAACAACTATCCCCAAATGTCACCTTCCTCCTAAGGCCCTGCACAACTCAGACCCCTCACTTCAAACGATGGCACTCTGCTTCCGGGAGAACGCATGGTGGCCAGGCTCCGTCTCTCACGCCAGCCCAGCAGTGGCCACGTGCGCCTCCACCCACACCAGCCTTCCTGTCGGCCTGGGGAAGGGGCCTCCTCCATCCAAGGCCAATCTCTCCTCTCCAGTCCTGTTGCCTCTGAGAACTCACTCCATCATTTCCCTTCCCTCTGGCCCCTTCCTCCAGCCCATAAACACTCGTCTCTCATTTTCTGTAAAATAAGGCCCCTTGGCCCCAGGGCTGCCTCCCTGTCAGTCACGTGTCCTCAAACAGAGGTCTGTACCCCACTACACTCTACGGGGCCACGTATGTACGGTCCATCGTTGACAGAAACGTCATTACATGGCACACACTGTAATGAGCTCAGAGCGGCACAGCTTGGACCTCACCAACCCAGACAGGGTCCATGAAGCTTGAGGAGTGGGGAGGCACTGAAACGGTACCTAAGGAAATAGAGGTGCGTGTGTGCACTTTCCTGGCGAGGGTTTCACTGTCACTCAGCTTCTCTGAGGCTGGAATCCTTACTCAGGGCTTGTACCAGGGTTCTCGGGGTGAGTGTGGGAATGCAGTGTCTCGGCCTGTCCCCCCAGGTTCTCATTTCATTGCTCAGGTGGGGCTGGGCACCGCTCTCTCGGTGACTCCAGTGTACACCCAGGTGAAGAACTGCTCAAAGAGCTGGAGTGACAGCGAGCTCTGCCCTGGAGGAAATGTCTCGTGCAGCTGCCCCAGAGAGGAAAGGAAGGAGGGAAGCCACCCCGCTTTGTTTTTGTTTTGCACATGTTGCTCAATAAATGAATCTGTGCAGAGGGTGAAATTCGCCTTGTTTATCAGCGGGATTACGGTCTCTCTGCCTGAGTCACTCTGGCTCCCACCCTGGGTTCAGAAAATATTTTGTAAAGGTCAGGTCGCATGGCTCCTCCCCCATGGTTTGAACTGGAACTGGACTCCCTGGTGTGTCATAGCAATAAAAACGGCGATAATTACCGTTGGACATGCGTGCCTGGCACCATACTGTGTGCACGGGCTGCAATCCAGGAGCTGGGTACTTAGTAGGCCCGTCTGACAGGTAGGAAAGCCAGGGCTTATATATCCACGACATGCAGGACTTGAACCCAGGGGTACAGCATGGGCGGAGGAGCTCTGCAGTTCGAAGGTCAGGCATTAGTGAAAACTGGAGGAGGAGGGAACAGTGCGTGTTTGAGGTGATCTGGTAACTTCCGCCAGGAAACCGGATGACTATTTCCAGCTGCTATTTTTGAGAAAGGGAAGGTGAAGCGGACTAACATGTGTTATGCACCAACCGTGTGCCAGGCTTGTCTAAACGCTCCCACATCCTATGTCACCGAGCTCCCTGCAGGGGCTGCTTTGACTATCGCCATTTTACAAGGGACGATCGGAGCACAACTGGTCACTCAGGGGAGGGGTGCTGGGTTTGTTCTCCTACCCAGCTGTGGGTGCAGCAAGAGCTGGACACTCGAGGCTCCTCTGGTCACTTCCTGGGCCTCCTGCTCACTCCTAATGGGCGCCCTTCCCACCTGTGTCCCGGCTCCTGCTCTGATCCTCACCTTCAGGCTCACCCAAGCCTCCAATTAGCCCTCAGTTTCCTCTATTCAGCTACTGACTCTCCCTCCAGGACCAGCCTGGGGCCGCCCCCTCGTCATGCTGCTTTGGATGGCCCTGGAGGCATGCTGGCCTCAGATGCCCCTGGACACAGTGGGGGGAGGGAGGAGGACCAGGCAGAAGCAGCTGCGACCTCCGTGGTCCCAGGGTCACACGAACGCTGCTCTGGATGCCCTGGTCTCGGCCACGCCCATCCCCTGCATTGTGGGCCAACAACAGCCTGGATCTGACACTGAGGCAGAGGAATTCCCACTGAGCTGGAACCTAGGGATGGGGTGGCCTCTGCCAGTAAGTGACATTCTGCTACTGAAAGGCCTCCCGCCCCACCCCACTACGCCTGGGCTGGCCACCTCGTGACAGCACAGGACACGTGTCTTCCGGCAGTTTCTGCTGTTGTTTTCTCCGTGTCCTGTAGGCAGGGGTGGGGTGGGGGCGGTAATAATGAGCCGGAGCTCTGGCCTCGCTCAGCAGAGTGTGGTCCCCGCTGCCGGCCGATATGGCACGAGCAGCTGGAAAAACTGACCGTGGGGCTTGACTATCTCAGAGGATTGCTCTATTTTTCCTCAGCATAATTTTTCCATGAATAATCTTTAAAGCTCTTTAAGTGGCTGTTTCTTTAACAGTTTTATTGGAATATATGAGAACTGACAGTCTGTGGGGAACGAGATATCATGTTGGGAAAAAAATCTGGTTTTCATTACATTTTTCTTAAGAAGCCACCATGCTGCCCCAGGCCACTCACTGGTTGGCAGAGAAACCAGCACAGGCCTCCTGAGCATGGCTTTGGGCGGACAGGACTAAGGGGAGACGGCAACAGCAGAGCCAGGACCCGGAGGCAGCCGGGCCTGGGCTCCCACTGGCGTCTGCCATGCAGGCTGAGTGAACTTGGGCAAGTCACCTGGCACTTCTGAGCTTGAATTCTACGGCTACAGAACAGGAGCAGTGATCTGACCTGGCAGATCCCTGTGAGGAGGAGAGGACTCACGTCCCTCTCCCCTTCCTGCAACCAATGTTTCCAGATCCGGGAGGGACAGTAACCAGATCATCACGCCCAGGGCGGGCACAGGCTTGGGTGTAATAAACCTGGCACTAACTACACCCACAGTGTGACTATCACGGCCTAACGGCGGTGCTAATGGTACTGTCCGACATTGATTGAGCATCCGCCAAGTGCCAGAGACATGCCGAACGCTTGTTCGCAGGACCTCATTTAGGCCTCGGCATACCCCTGCCTCACAGGGGCTGTTGTTAGCTCCTCACTGGGATGTGGGACTGAGGTCAGAAGGGCTAAGGAGCTTCCTGGGGGAGCAGTGGAGCCTGGAGCAGTGCATCTGAGAGCCCGAAAAGTCAGGGCAGACCTGGGGGCTCCGACATCCAGGCTGGTGCAGGTCCCGGCAGAGGCAGCAGCTTGGGCAGAAGGAGCAGCACATGCAAAGACCGCAACACGAGAGATGCAGAACCCACTAGAGAAAGCTCAGAGAGCCAGCCTGGCTGAGGAGCTGAAGGAGGGAATGTGGGGGAGGGAGGGTAGGGAGTGGAGCTGCAGGGCCACACGAGGGGCCAAGAGTTTAATGAGGGGAAGATGTGGAGATTTCAGGAGGGTCAGTAAGGTGCTCAGATTTGTACCCTAGAAAGCTCACTCTGGCTGGAAGTATGTGGATGTGGCCAAGAACACAGGCTGGGAGGTGGATGTGGCAGAGAGAGCGCTAGGAGATGGGCGAGGGGGTGGGGGAGGGGCACTCGGGGTAACCCTCGGTGGAGGCTGGTGCCATTCACTGATGGAGTGGACGAGAAGTGCAGTTTGGGACCGATGTTGGGGAGACGCGTGAAGCTCAGGAGACAGACGGCAGCTGGGGACAGAGGTGCAGGCCATGCGGCACAGGAGGTTGTAAGCTCAGTAAGAAGAGGGGAGGCCTGGGACAGAATGCAGGGAAACGGTGTTTGTGGGATGAGAAGAAGACAAAGGCTGAAAGGACTGTGTAAAGCCAGGGTCACCAGAACAACTACTTGAGAAAAGCATCACTGTAGGTGCATGAGTAAGTGACCTCTTCACTTGTAATTCTACTGGAAGGCGCAGGAGCCGGCACTCCTCTCCTGGCCAGCAGCCCTGCGGCAGCCTTGTGCGGGCAGCACCACCTTTGGGGCCAGGACACACGTCAATGTCCCCTTTTCTCTGATCAGGGTCTTTAGAGAGCAAACTGGAGGGGCCTAGTCTGCCAGCTTTGGTCAGCTGCCAGCGCCACCTGCAGACAGGCCTGGATGCCCCAGAAATGACCTCCTGTTCATCCTGGAAGCTTCTCTCAGGAGAAGAGAGAGGGATGGAGGGAAAGAGCTGCCAACCTTCTCCCGCTTCAGGGGTTGAATCAGACAACAGTGCGGGCTGTCGCTGAGATCCTGGCCCAGCGCTTTACAGCGTCTGTCCCTGAGCTCTCATAGAGGGCGGTGACCCTCCTCCTGGGCCACAGCCTCCTGCCCCTTGCTCTCCGGTGCCCACTCCCCACATTCACAGCATCCAGGTCACTAAGGAATTGTGTTGGCAGCCTGTTGGTTGTCCATCTCTCCCACCAGACACCAACTCTGGAGGCCGGGGCTGTGTCCCAGTGCCCAGCGCAGGGCTGGAGCAAGGCTGTGTGTGCTGAATGCTGGCGCGGTGCCCACGGCTGCAGAGGTGGCGGCTCTGCAGAGGATGCGGGGCTGGGATGGGGAGTCCTGCTCCCACGGGTTTCCAGCAGCATCGAGCGGCCCTGCCCAGGCCAGCACTGCCGATTTCAGCAGCCTGGCAGCCCACCGAGGCCTTTGGGGGTGCTTTCCAAGTCTTGCACATCGGACATTAATGGGAGGCAGCTGTGGCAGAGGAACTACTGAGCTTGGAGTCCCAGGATCTGCGTTCCAGTCCAGCCTCTGCCCAGGGCTGAGCTGGGAGCTCAGGGTCCAGTCTCCTCACTGGAGAAGGTGAATGACAATTGCTGTGACCTGGGGCTCTCGGGCGCCACCCTGACCGTGAGCTGCACAGACTTCCATCCAGTCTTGGGGCTTCTCTCCGCTTCGCTCCTGTGCCTGCTCAGAGCCTTCCAGGTCTGCCGGAGCCCTGCGCACGCGGACATGGGCCCCTTGGCACAGAGTCCGTTTGTGTTGAAACCTTTCTCTGGCCAGGTTTCATGGTCGAGCCTGGGAGCCGGTCCCTTTTACATTCGCACACATTCTTTGTTTCTTATACGTGCAGCTCTCACGGGTCCCTATTGTGAGCCAAGGTCGCCCTTCAGCTGTGGGGAGCCCCAGATGCCTTCTCCTCGGAGTCAGAGGCCCCGACTCCCAGGCACTGGGAGCAAGGAATGCCGGCTGCAGTGGTGCTGCGTGGAGCTGGGCCACGGCAGGGCAGCAGGGTCGGACAGAGCCGGGCCTGAGCCTGGCTCCTCTGCCTGACCTTGACACGCCAGCCTAGTAGCTGGGAGATGTCCAGAAGAGAGCAGATGTGCCCTCGCCTAGGGCTCCTCACCCTCTGAGACTATAAACGGAAGGAGAGAGGAGCACGTGGAAAGGGAGCCCCACCCCTCGCCCACAGGGTGATCTCTGCGTCTACTCAACCATAGTGAGGCGTCTCCACAGACCACGCAGAGAGCTTGAAATCTGTGCCCAGCAGTTGGGAGACCCAGGGAACAGCCAGTGCCTCACTCAGGCCTGCGGGCCCAATGGGGCCGCAGCCAGAGGACGGTGTGGCCGCACCAGGCTTAGCTGCGCTCACAGATCTGCTGGCACAAGGAAGGTGTGGCCTCCCAGGGACCAAGGTGGCCCCTGTGAGGAACTGGCATGGAGGTGAGGGGATCCAAGCAGCGAGGAGCTGGAGGTTGGCATGGACTCCCTGTTGGCTGCCTCACTGTCCCTCCATCAGGACACATCAGCGCTGATGCCCTGAGCGGTAGGCGTGCACCGGGCTCTGTGCTGGGGGCTCTTCCCACACAGCCTCAGCCCTGTGAAGTGAGGCAACGTGAAGTATTCATTTCTATCCCCATTTCACCAGTAAGGAAACTGGGGCTCACAGGGATTGAGCTAACTGCCCAGGGCCCCACAGCTAAGTGCCAGAGCCAGGCGGGTCTTTACACAGCGGGCGGTGAAACAAGGAAGACCACCAGGGGTGCGAGAGCAGTCCTGAGGTCCGAGTGCAGAAGCGCGAGGCGCAGGCGCGGTTTCCCATGGCCTGGCTCCGCTGCCAAGGGCTCTTCAGAGAAAACCTGTCAGTTGGTTCGGCCACGTGGAGGCGGAGCTCACAGGATCTGGAAATGTCTTCACGGGCTCCAACGCACACACAAACATGGCTTGCCCTCTCTGAGGGTCAACATTCTTTATGCATTTTGCTCTCCAGGAAAAAATTAGTTCATTTATATAAACGAAACAGTACATACGGGAGAAATTGAAAACGTGGCCCTTTTTTCTCCACGGACCAGAACTGAGGAGGTTTCTCCATTTCCTCTCTCACAGTGTCTGTCTACTTGTTGTGTGGATCTGCCAGCATGGCCACTCCCTGGGGGCAGAGTGGGGGCAGCCCTGGGCGGGGGGGAGGACGGGAGGATGGGCCACTACAGAGACAGAGGGACAGCCTCAGTGGGGACCCCTCCGACATTAACCAAGGCCTGAGGGACCTGAGACTAGGGCTGCTCCCAACGCCAGAGTCTGCGTCCCCCGTGCCCCTGGCAGGAGAGCTGGTTAGAGGAGGGGGCACAGCCACAAGGAGGGGTCCGGGAGCTCACACTGGCCTCCTTCTGGGTCCTCGATGCCACACCTGCTCCCTCGAGGCTGCTGCTGCATGTCTCCCCCTGACAGGTCAGCTCCAGGAGGGCAGCCTGTGCCTAGTTCCTGGTGCGTGGCCCACAGCGAGTGCCTGGCCCACAGCAGGCCCGGCCTGGAAGTCTTGAGTGAAGGAACGAATGAACGCATCTCGGGGCCTCTCCTTGGCAGGTGTGGGTGCCTGCCTGCTGGAAAGAGAGCCCGGAGCAGGAGCTTAACCCCCTCCTGGGAGCCGAGGAGGCTGCGTTCCTGCCATTCCTGGGACTGCTGAGAGGCACATTCCTGTCCCTGGTCTGGTCGGGCTCCTGCCACGAAGCCCAGTCTAACTGCCAGATCAGGGAAGGCCTCTTGGGAGCTGTCCCTCTGGCCCTGCCTTCACGGGACCCCTGCTGTCCCAGGGCTGCAGGCACCACCGCTGTCACCTGAGGCTGGGGGTGGGGTGGGGAAGCCAGGATGGAGGAGTGAGCCTGAAGCTTTCCAGACGCCCCCCATCTTCTGGTGATCAATGAAAACCTTCATGTCCTGCTTCCAGGCTGCAGCCAGGGATTTGGAAAATTGGTGGGAAACGCCCCTGTGAGCCGGGCTCGCTCTCTGCGTGAAAACTGCTGGCATCAGCGCTCCTCCAGGGAGTGCGGAGTCAGCAGTCGGCGGCTCTGGAGCTGCTTCGAGAGCCAGGTGCCCACAGGGCCCGGCCAGGAGCTCAGAGGCCAGGGCTGAAGGGGCGAGGGCAGGCAACCTGTGTGCCGGCTCTGGTACCCTTACCTCGGGGCAGTCTGAGGGGAGGCAACCTGGGATAAAGGAGCACAGACCGGGGAGCGGGAGAGGCACAGAGCTGGAAGGAGCTGGAAGGAGCTGGGGGTGGGGGTGGGGGTGGTTTACAGGGCTGGCAGACTCTGTGAGAGGCCCACTAGTGGTTGTTTTAGGTCAGACCACACTGAGTGCCTTCCAAGTATCATTTCCATCCTGACCTCCCCACGACCCTGGGGTGGAGACTTTATTACCCTCATTTTACAGGTGAGGAAGCCGAGGCCCAGAGGGTGGACTTGCTGATCCAACACTGCAGTGGCCTAGAACCCAGGCTGGTGACACCTGAGCTCAAACCAGGAGGAGGAAGCACAGGTGGCCCAGACCCCAATCTGGTCCCACCCTGGGCAGCAGTGAGATCAGCCCCAGGCACGGAGAGCCAGCTGGACACTGAGGAACAGAAACCGTCGGTGATACCGACGGAGCACTTTCACCACAAACGAGCCCGTGTGGGCAGAGCACTCCACAGGTGTGAGCTTGCCCAGGCGTCACAGGAACCTGCAGGGTGACTGCCACCGATGATCAGAGAGGGGAGATGGCAAAGCTGGGGCTGACTTCACAGCCTGCACCCTTCATCACTAGGGGATGCTCTGTGTGTCCCAAATATGTGGACAGACTGAGGCTCCAGGGAGGCGAGCCATCTGTGCCTGGGGGCACCAGACACCCCGGCCTCCTGTGCACCCTCCCAGGCACGACAACTCCGGGGCCGGGGCCTGACGAGAAGGCCCTGGTGATCTGGAGAGGACCCCGTTCTCTGTCTGCCCTGTGCGTGCTCTCAGCTGGGGTTCTGATCTTGCCTCTCTTGAGGCTTTTAGGTCCCAGGCTCTTGCAGGGAGCCCCAGCCCAGAGGTGTCCCCAGGGGTTCCGTGTGATTGGGAGCTCAGCAGGTTAGTGCGGGAGGGCTGTGAGCAGGGACAGCTGTGTCTGCCAACCTGCAAACAACTGCGCCCTTTGGCTCCACAGTCAGGACCCACCTGACAGCATATCTGGGCTTTCAGTGGGTTCGCCCCACTTGATAGGATGTGGCTACAATACCTGCAAGATCTTCCTTTGAAGAGACGAGTCTTGGAGAGCTGCTTCCTGGTTCAATTCTGAGCGACAGTCTGAAAACAAAGGTTTTTCACAGGATCAGTCAGGCTCTGGTGCATCGGAGGGGAGCTGAGCATGTGTATGTTTGCAATCGGGAGACTGGACTGCGGTTAAGGAGGCTCATGGTCATGAAACCCAGGAATACTTCAAGGTCTGCTCCAGATCACGGCGACTGCCTTCCGAGCCCCCAGCAAGTTCCCACGACCCAGCAATAATGGTTAAGGACGACACAGCAAAGAGTGATCATGGCCCATCCTCTGCTGGCACGCATGTGCTCATTCTCTAGACAACCCTATGAGCTAGGTAGGCGTCATCCCATCCTACAGATGAGGAGCTGAAGAGCAGTGAGCTGAGTAGCTCCCCAAATTCATAGAGCAGCGAGTGGTGAAGCAGGGGATCTGGTCCTAAGCCGGGGTTTAACCCTCACATGGCACTTCCTCTCAGTTGCCCCCAGAGAGCCAGGAGGCAGTGGCCACCTTAGGAGGATTGGCAACTCAGTATTATTATTTTTCAAAAGCACCAACCAAGAACTGCTGGGGGAAAATGACAGAGTGAAGCCAGATGCCAGACTCCCTGTCTCCCAACAAAACCAACACACACTTAGGAACGCTTAGGAGTAACCAAACTTGTCAGATGCTGCTCCACAAGGTTAGGGGCGTGAACGGAAGCCATGACCTTCAGAAACTTGCAGCCAAGGAAGGAGAAGGAGGTGGTGAAGTCTGGCCGGGAGTTGGTCCTTACCTGTCTCTTCTCTGAATGGCCCCAGGTGCTGGGAGAAACGGTGGGGTGGGTGGAGGGCCTGGTGGATATGCTGACCTGACAGAAAGGAAGCCTCCATAGGGGGGATGAGGGTAGAATTTCACACTTGAGGGGATCCCTTTCTGGAATGGGAGACAGCCTTCAACAGGGTGGAGGAAACCCTAAAATAGAGCCCCCATACCCAAAACAGACGGCCTGCTCCCTTCCTCACGGAGCCTGAGCCTGCGTTCCCCAGGCACCAGGAGGGACCGACTGAGAACCCCTGGCCGCAGGGGAACCAGCCAACTCACACACAAGTGCAGGGTCAGCTGTCCCTCCCCTGTCGCAGCCATGGAAGAGTGAGACGGAGCCTCAATGGGAGCAAGATGAAAAGGAGTGGCCTGGCCACTGAGCAAACATCCTCTCACAGAAAAAGGAGAAAGGAAGCGAGCAAGTTGCGCAGCAGCCCTGGGGCAGCCCCAGGAGCACGAGGAAACCCAAGTGCTTCCATCAGCAGAATAAGTCATGCAGAACCCGGGCTGGAGAACACAAGACCTGAAAAATGAGACGATAACGCACAGGAGTGAGATGAAAAGGGGGTCGGAGACCTAGGGAACAGTCAAGGACTGAATGAGGACCTAAGTAGAAGCACGACCCGAGACAGCCATTAGGAAGAAGCTAACGGGTACAGAAGGCAGGCAGCACAACGCGTGGATGCCTAGAATCCCCGAGAGAAAAGCCAAGAAATGACACAGCAGGGGGCAGAGATAGAAACCAAAGAATTCCTCTGAAAGGAAGAAAGAGCACACCTTGTTCCAGGCACATTTGATACCAAACACCCTCCACTCGGAGGCATCCTCCTGATTGAGTTTTTGACATTCAGGGAATTCTTCACCCCCCCAGGCGGACCAGGCAAGACATTCAACAAGAGGAAAAAATCAGATGGGCTTGAGGCTTCTCTACAGCAACTACAAGGCAGGATGGCAAGGGAGTGGGGTCCACGCGTCCTGGGGGAGATGCGAAGGAGCGCAGTCCAGCAGGTCGGAAGCAGACACGTTCAGGAAAGAAATCGGAGTGCGCCCAACTTGTGAGAACCTACTGACATCACCTACATGCGGGACGAACCTAAAATAAAACCTCCCAGGAATGGAGACGCTGTGGAGACACAGCAGGTGGTAAGAAAGGAATCTGTTTAAAAACACTGAACAGTAGGAACTGTGATTCCTGAACACGATGTGTACGTTGTAAACTTGGACTAGGCAGTGATAATAATATAACCAACAAACTGGAAGATGTGAAGTGCAGGGGAGGGGCGGGGGGCGGACGCCAACGTTCTCATCTTTCATAGCCTAGCAAACTGACCCTGCTCACAGTGGGAATCTAGTTAAGACAGAACTGATGGGCTCAATCCCCTTACTGTTTTCCTGACCTCTTCTGTTAATCTTAGAAGCTCTGTTAGGAAATAGTATCTCTTGTGGTGGGGAAATATTTATTTGAAGAGCAATAATTCCTTGTGTTTTATTTCAGTTCCTTTTCTCTGGTTAAATTAAAATAAAATTAAAGTCAATACTTTTCATTAAAAATAGCAAGTGTAGCATGATTCCATTTGAAGAGATTCTTGCCTTGCATCCATCCATCTATCCACCCTTCTCTATGTGTTATCTAAGCACTTTCTATGCAGAGAAAAATGTCCAGAATTATGCTCACTTAATGCTAATGGGAATGTGGGTTATTTTTCTTAAGTGAAATAAAAGAAACTAAAGGCTGAGAAAAACAAAGCACTGGGTGGGCCCCTTGGCACAATATCCCCAAAGCAGAGGGGGGCAGGGTATGAGAAAGGCAGTCATTGAGGTCTTAGCTCAGCGGCTGCACCCTTTGGGGTGGGAGGCAAGTCCCCAGCTGGGCTGTGGGGTGTGGGCTCCTCAAGGAGAATCACAAGCCCTGATGTCTCTGCCACTCAGAGCCGGGGACAGGACCCCTGCCTGGGAAGGGACTCCCTCAGTGTCGGGCCCGGGGGCCAGAAAGCAGCTTCCGCCCTGGTTGTCACTGCGACAACAACAGAGAGAGCCCCTATGAAGTCCGGGCTGAGTGGGGGAGAGGGGTTCAGCATTCAGTGCTGGGGTGCTCAGAGTCCTTAGGAAGGAACGGAGCGATTACTCACAACCTGCGGCTTGCCCAAGGACTCTCTCACAGCCAGGAGCATTTATAGGTCCTTTTTCTCCTTAAGGGATCTTAGCGTGAATGAAAAGCTACTGTCTCTTTCATTGTGCTACTGGCACAGGAATGGAAAATATTACTCCAGAACCTACGTGGGAATAATTTCACACTCTGGACTACATTTTTAAGCACAGCAAATGCTTTTAAGTAAAATGAGCTCAATTTGTGGCAAATATAACTTTAATGATAATCTCTGGCTTTCATCTATTTTTGTTACTATTATATAATAGATCAAAATTTCATATTATATTCTATTTTAACAAGGTATTATACAATAACAATTAAAGATATTATGTCTTGTTCCCAAGGTTAAACCAATCATCAGAACCACCTACGGCGTTTTGAAAAAACACAAATGTTCAGGCCCCGCCCCAGCATCTAGATGGGTAGAAGCCTCCCCAGGTGACTGACTCACAGCGGGCTGGTCCACAGCTGCAGAGCTGGTAGACGTGCAGCTGTATGAACAGTCATTCCTGAGGTCCTGGGAGTGAATCATGGGAGACGTGGGGGGTGTCTCCAGTGACCACTGTTCTCTACAGTTTTAAGGGACTTAGATGAACAGTAATCAAGCTGATCCCAAAGTGGAAGAGATTAAAAAATATATATTAGCTAACAGGACTCAAAGGAATCATGGTATACCAGAGTAAGATGAGATTAAAAGAACAGATGTAAAGTTGACAGAGGGTAAATGATGGATTACAAGATGGTGAGATTTGCCTTGATATATCAGATCCCATGGAAATGTACTGAGGCTCCTGGTTGACCTCCAGCTCAAAATGAGCCAAGAGGATGTCCAATCAGAATGGCAAAGATGATACAAAAAATCCTCCATCTCCCTCTAAATACATAGAAATGCCGGATAAATTCTCAGGTGCCACAAGAAAGAGCCGAAAGCCAGAGCAGTGTGAGTGGAAGATGAGGCCAAGGGGCCCACAGGGATCTTTGTGGGAACTAAGACTACTCCGTAGGGATACATGGGATGGAGATGGGCCTCTGCCGGTGCCAGTCAGCGAGTATCCGACAGAGAGCTGGGCCCAGGGAGCTGTCCCGTCCAGGAAACAGACTCTTGGGGAACTCCGATTGCCAGCCAGGAGAGATGGCTAGAAGGCTGCCCTCCCCCAGCCCTGAGTCACCCGTGAGACCTGGAGCACCACACCTCACAGAGCCGTGGAATCCACGTTCACAGCACCCAGGTGATTTGAGAGAGCCAAGCTGAGAAGTTCACAAAACACCTTCCTCAGAACTATGGGGCAGACAGTGCCACCACGGGCTCGGTGGGGTCAGAGGTCACATTCTGTGTACCTGCATTGTGCAGGGGCCAGGAAGGAGAGTGGGCACTCACTTGTAGTTGTCGTCTTCCACAAACTTCTGGAGTTCTTCGATGTAGCGCACGGACTTCAGGTACTTCTGCACGTGGGGCAGGGTTGTGAGGTGATCTGCAAAAGGTGGACAAAACCAGAGGCCTCAGTCTTTCCCCATCTCCAGGTCCCGCATGAGAATGTGGGCATCGCTGATCTTGGCACTAGATGCTCCTTGGATATTGGGACATATATTCAGTCTTTCTAGAGTTGCTGATGGGCACTGGGCACAGGGGGGTCATCAGGCCTGGTTTCTGCCCTCGAGGAGTGCCCCCAGATGGCTGGGCCGTAGACACCTCACTCCGAGGCACCACAGGTCTTTGGCTGGGAAAGATGGGTCTTTGGGGGAAGTTGGTCTCCAGAACTGATCAGGCCAGGTGTCTGTGCCCTAAAACAGGTTCCATTGGGCAATATGCAAGCCTCCCATGCCTTCCGCCCCTGTTTGACAAGACGCAAGAATGACTGAAAAGCCCTCATCCAGCTGGTGTGAGGGTTTTTCAGACCCTGGCACAGTGGGAGAGTCTGCCCCTTGGGTTGCAGCCGCTGGGGAGACGGATGGGCTCTGAGCGCCTGCTCTGTGCCAGGCTCTGTACCAGGAGACTCCCAGGCGTCATCTGCTTTAACCTTCACACCTGCCTCAGTTGGGAGACATAATATGTCCACAGAGGAAGAGGCCATGGCGACTTGCAAAGCTCAGGTCCCTGAGAAGTGGCAGAGCTGGGTTTTGATCCCAGGTAACCTGCTACACTTCACTGTCTATTTCCTGGAGTGACTGACATCGGCTGCTCTCGGCAGACCTTCACAGTCACAGAGGGGCCCCAAGCCCTCCAAGATCCTCTACGCCAACTCACCCCATCCCACAAGGTGGGACAGAACAAGCTAGGGGACAGGTGGAGGTGGTGCAGAACAGCAGAAAGAGGCGGGGAAGGGCCCGGGCTTTCCAGGGAGGTGTGTCAGGCAATGTAAGGAGCACTTGCCCCTGTGAGATTCTGAACAGGTCATTTTGTTTCTCTAGAGCAGTGGTTCTCAACCTTCCTAATGCCGCGACCCTTTAATACAGTTCCTCATGCTGTGGTGACCCCCAACCATAAAATTATTTTTGTTGCTACTTCATAACTGTAATTTTGCTACTGTTATGAATCGTCATGTAAATATCTGATATGCAGGATGTATTTTCATTGTTACAAATTGAACATAATTAAAGCATAGTGATTAATCACAAAAACAATATGTAATTATATATGTGTTTTCCGATGGTCTTAGGCGACCCCTGTGAAAGGGTCGTTCGACCCCCAAAGGGGTCGCAACCCACAGGTTGAGAACCGCTGCTCTAGAGCCTCAGTGTCCTCATTTCTGCAATGGGATGGCACTTGCTTCCTGAAGCTGATGGCGGGGAAGATGCAGGTGCAGGTAGCGGTACTAAGTGAACGTTTGCTGAGCACCAATGAAATGTCGGGGTGTGCTCAGGGCTCCGCACACATCATGTCCCCATGTTTACTGATGAGAAAACCTTAGTCTCAGAGACGAGAAAGTGACTTTTCAAGAGGCAGAGCCGAGATCTGAACCCTAGTCTGTCTGACCCCAAAGCCATCTCTAATTGCTCTGCTGGCCAGTGGGACAGTGAGTGTCCATGTACCAGGTACCTGTCAGTGGAAAGGGCCTCAGCGGTGAGGACTGCACTGGGAACTCAGTCTCCTCACTGTTCCTCTGATCAGAGGACAGCTGGTCTGGAAGTGCTGACACCACACCCCACCCCTTGTTGGGGAGCTTATGAGCAGGCTGTTTGCTTCAGTGAGCCCACTAGCAGGAAGCCCACCCTGGCTTCCCAGGGGGCCTTCCCAAGCGGAGACTGCTGGAGGTTTGCTCACACCCTGTGTTCTGGATATAACATCTTGTTTGCACAGTCTTTGAAGATCAAATAAGTGTGTAAGTCCGGCTGGTATTACTCGGTGATTGAGTGTCAACCTGTGAACCAGGAGGTCACCGTTAGATTCCCAGTCAGGGCACATGCTCAGATTGTGGGCTCGATCCCCAGTAGGGGGCGTGCAGGAGGCAGCCAATCAATGAATCTCATCATTGATGTTTCTCTCTCTCCCTCTCCCTTCCTTTCTGAAATCAATAAAATATATTTGTTTAAAAATCTAGCACATGTTTGGTGCTCAAGGAAGAGCTTTCTTGCTAATAAGGTGCCAGACTCAAATTTCAGTGATGTGACATTTCACAACTCCAACAATCAGCGGTACTAACCGTAGCTGCAGGAGACTTGTAAATCTGCGATTATTCGGAGAATATTGTTCATCTGATTGGATCTTTGTTCATTTTCCATGATGCTGCCTGAGGCAGGATATGCAGAATCAATGTAGATTAAATCCAGAAGATAGATCCCTAAAAAAAAACAAACAAAAAGTCAGAAGATAGATCCCTAAAAGTAAAGAAGATATTTAATGATGGTAAGTATTCACCATTAATCAGACAAAAATAGCACAAAACAGCACTGTTCTGCTAGAGGATATAAAGGGCGACTTAGGGAAAACTGAGATCCTCTTTGGACTTAATTCCAATCCCGATTACTAATTTTTCACATAGACCGTTCAACTGTAAATCAAGCATCGAGTGACAACCAAAGTGAACGCTGGCGAGATTTCAGCATTTCTGGTTCATACACTCTCCAGCAACAAGGATTTTTTTTTTCTTGTAACCCAAGTGGAAAATAACAGGACATAAAAGAGATGAATGAATACTTGTGTTTTTCATCAACCGATGAAGTTTAATAGGTCTAAGGTATTCTATCCAGGAGAACACCATTTGGATTGAATTCAGTTTTTATTTATTCACTTAGCTGCATGTCTAGGTGTCTATCTGTACACACACCCCCAAAACCATAAATTAACTAAGGGATAAAAGAAGAAATAAAAGAAAGCAACTGTCATTGGTAAACACACACACACACACACACACACACACACACACACACACAAAACTAAGGCTAGATAGAGAATTCTCCTGAGGGTGCTTAATAAGAAAATAACATGTGATATAAAACAGGCCAGTGTTGGGCCTCGGCATCACCCAGGGGGAATCTGGAACAGGCCACCTGGGCGGGCCGGGAGAGGAGGACTGGCAGTGCAGCGTGATGCACTGCACAGCTCTCAGCTGACTGGCTGACCACAGGGCCGCGCTTCAGGCTCTCTGGGGACGTGCACGGACAGTGGGTGGCCAGCAGCCCTTTACGAGTCCTGCCACTCTACCCATGATATTTGTGGGGTTGAGCAGGAGTAGCGATGGAAAGCAGAATTCAAGGCAGGAAACACTGAACAAGGCAAAGAGGCATCATTGATATTAATGAAAAGCACCGCTGCTGGAGAAGATCTAATGATTACAAATTTCTATGCACAAAGCGACATTGCATCAAAATATACAAAGCAAAAAACTGCCAGAAATAAACAGTGAATTCAACAAAGACATAACCATGCAGGGAGCCTTTGGCATGTCTCTTCCAGAATTTGTGTGTATGCACAAAAATATACACATACAAGACATACATATACAGATATATTACACATACAGACATACATATACAGATATATAATACATATAAATATAGTATTTGAGTAACAAAATTAACAAGTTTGGTGAATATAAATGAAAATAGAATTCTTTTCAAATACCCATGGAATATTTACAAAAATGGATTATATACTAGACTGTAAAGGAAAGTTTAATAGGCTTAAAAAAGTAAATGTCATATTTATCCACATTCTTTGACCTTATATTACATGGAAGATTTAACAATAAATATAGAAAAAAGGCTAACCATTTGGGAAACACACACTTGCACACATATACACACAAGCAACTTTCAGGCCAAAGAAAAAACAAATAATCTAAAATAAAAAGTCTATTTAAAGAAAATGACAATAAGAACACTACATGTCAAAATTTATAGGATCAGACCAAAGTGATAATCAGAGGAAAATTTATAGCCTTAAAAGTTTACTGTTAAACGACTAAGAATTATTACAAATGTAATTAATCAGGTACGTAAAAGTTTTGTATGGATAAACGAGCACTGTACTGACACACATTCATTGTGTTATTTATTCCTACAGCAACCCATTTTACAGAGGAGGGAAGGAAAAGCAGAGGGACATGTAACTAGCGCCAGTCACACCGCCGGTAATGATGGCGATGGGAGGTGAACGCAAGCCGCCCCTCCAGAGTACACTCCTGCCATCACAGTAGACTGCGGCTGCTGGATTCCATGAGTCAGTCAGTCACTCATCTGCTTTTAAAATAGCTACACATTGTGACGGGAAACCGTTAAATCACAGAAACAGATGCTGGTACTCCTCCTAGGAACCATTTCCACTTCCTTTCTAATGGCATCATGTTTCCAAAATTTTAATAATTAGAAATAATTTCCCCTGTATAGAAGCTCCAAGTTTGGTAGGTTGGAATCCACAGATGTATTCTTCCCCTTGCCCTGTTCCCTCTCTTCTCTTAACAGTGTAACTCATTGCCTCCCCGAGGCTTTAGCAGTGGCAGTCCTGAAAATCCCCTCGCTGCTTCAAGCACCGTAGAAAGCCTCCTCTGTGCTGAGCAGGAGGTAACGGATAAGGGGCATGAGGCGGCTTCGTTCCAGATGAGAACTGGATGCGGACGTGAACCCAGCTGCCTCTGAGCGGCAGCGTGAACGATCTCTCAGGAGCAGACACCGAGGAGCAGGACAGGGGGAAGGGAGAGACTGATGCTTCCCAGGGATTTACCATCAGATGGAAACGTATCTTCCTTCAACTTCATGTGATCCTCCCATCAACCCCATGAGGGTTAAGGAGAAAACGAGAGCTGAGAGAAGTAAGAAACCTCCTGAGCCGCCCAGGAGCCTGCAGGATTTGAGCCCAGGTCTGTTTGGCTCCAGCACCTGCGTTCCCACCCACTTACTGGCCATCAGAAACGCACGGGGAATCGCCTTTCCTCCAAAAACACCAGCGTGGAGGCCTTGCCCTACTCCGCCCTGTGAGGATGGGTGCTGGCCGCCTGCTTCCTCTCAGGTCCCTGGCTCTGCAGACAGAGGCCAGGAAGAGCTTGCCTTCGAAGGGGCCAGCACACCTTTCCCACTGCCCAGCCCCTGCTTGCACCCTGTTGGCACGGAGAGCTCACTACTTAATAAGAGCAAATTCTACTGTTGGAGTGTTCATCACCCACCTCTACAAAATGTGCAGCCTCCAGCACCTGTCCACTCCCCAGGTGCAGAGAGTACAGGCCACGGCCAGGACCTGGTGAGGACTCAGGGGACCTCCCAAAGGAGACCTCCTGGCCCCGGTGACCTGGAGAGACCTCGATCCACTGCAATGCCTGGAAAGAACCTCCATATAAAGTCTTTTACTCCCATAACAAGAACTCCACAAGCAGAAAATCTCCCACAGTTAATACTGCACAAATCCAGGGAAGTCTTTTCAGTATTATTAGCCCATAACTGGAAATATTTAAAAGCCTAAATCATAACGAAGTCATAAAAATAGCCACCTCCCACTTGTCCTGTGCCAGTGCTGTGCTAAGCCCGGTGCACAGCTCGCTCGCACGCACCACAACTGTAATTCTATACTTATTTGTACCATTCATGTATTTAATATCTGGTTCCCCATCAGCCTTAAAGGCCCCCCCTCCCCCAATTAGGAAGGGTGTCTTGCTCCACAAACTCAATCCCTGCAGCTGGAACAGAGCACACAGGAGCTGCTTAGTAAACATTAGTTGAAAAAAAGAAAAGCATGAATGAAGCCACATTTTATTGAATCCATACAATAACCTTGTGAAGTACCCTCATTACTACCCTCATTTTGTAGCTGTTCTTCACTTAGAGTGAGGTGAAGATAATAATAAAACGAGCAGATAACTGACTCCTAACAACACCACTACTGTCTGGGAGGTTTTAGGTCTACTTCACAGAGAGAGAAACTGAAGCTGAGAGTCGCTTTGCTTATCTGAGGCCACACAGCTGGGAAGTGACAGAGGCAGGGTTCCTACACAGGTCTGTCCAGGCTGCCATACTGTTAGTCCTTTCTTCAGCACAGCCAGTCCTCCGGGGCCTGGCAGCTGGTAAGGCAAGCTGGACCCAGAGGTTTCCAGGCTAAGGCCCTCCCTGCCTGCTTTCTCCTTTGGAGTCAACACTCTCCAAGAAGGCTCGTGACTGTACTGTGGCCACCTCCCCTCCTACATCGTCCACTTCCTCCCACTGTCTCCCTGGCACCCATCATGGTGTATCTGTCCAGGTCCCATCGTCAGTGGGCCCACCCAGGCCTGGGGGCCCTGCCAACTCTGCCACGTGATGGGCAGCTGTGGTATGAGTGGGAGAGAGTGGGGCTTGGAACAAGGAGATTTGGAAGCCTGGTTCTGCCATGCTGGGTGGCCTCAGGCAAGCCTTTTTACCTCCCAGGGCCTCAGTTTCCTTGATTGTGCCTGGGAATAATGACGGTGGTCGTGAGGAGTCTGCTGGCCTGGGGCCTGAACCACTGAGATGCTCAAGAAGCTGAGCGGAGCTAACCTCGAGCCTGGCTCCGTGGCGAGGCCCCATGGGAGGGATGCACCAGCTGCATTTGCCATAACCAAGGATGGCGCCCAGATGCTGAGCACATGGTGGCCACCCACCTCAGACAGGCCAGTGCTGGGAGCTTCCATCTGGGTTGGGACGGCTCAGCTGGGCCGTTTCAGCTCCTTTCCTATTTCTACAGTTACTACAGCAGATGACACTGTGTTACTGGCCTTGTTAAGATGGACAGTAATTGGACCAGCCACTGGCCCTGGCTGCCATGGGGCTGAGCGGTGCCAGGGACTGGGGCTGGACTGGGAGGTACAGATGCATTGGAGGAAACAACCATAGTAGTAACAGCCACTCTGAGTGGAAGGCAGGCCTTGCTTGTAGCACAGCATCTAGATTCTCTCGTGTCCCTACTTCTCAGACCAGGAAATGAGAGCCTAGAGGGGAAGGTGACTTGTCCAGGATCACACAGCTTGTAAGGGGGGTCAGGATTTGAACTCAGGCCTGTCTGACTCCAAAGATCTGGGAAGAGCAATGCTGAGCGCAGGGGCTGGGAGTCACTGGCTGGCACAGAAACAAGGTTCCAGCCACAGAGGTGGGGTTTGAGGACCCCTGCCGTGGCCTGCTTTCCCCAGGGATGCTGCTGGCAGCCAGCTTCTGCCCGTGCTGCCCGCCTGCAGACTGGACCTCCTCTGAGATGGACAGCTACCCACACATGCTTCTGCTCTGCTCCCTCCTTCCACGTCCCACCAGGCTGGTGTCACTGCTATGGCTGCAACAGAAGTGCCGTCAGACTGCCATGGTGGGCAGCGCTGGGCATGTGCCAAACCCTCTTCCTGACAGGCAGTCC